AAAGCCTCACGCAAGGATCGCGAGACATGGTGGTCTGAGCGTGCTTTAGAGAGATGGAGACTGCTGCCCTCTCTTGGCAACACTCGCAGGCTGGGCCTAATCAGGCGGTCTCCACAGCAGTCAATTAACAGCGCAGAAGCGGAGGGAGGGGGATGGAGGATCAGTTTCGGGCAGGAGCAAGAGGAGGCGGGACGGGAAAGGAGGGGTAGGAGGGGGAGGAGATGTGAGGCAGAACAGACGATGTTGAAATGAAGCCTGGAGAGAGAGGAGGTGGGTCTGGGAACGGAGGGAGAAGGATGGGGAAACCATTTGTGGGGAGGGGGCTGGAATCAAGCAGAGGGACGGAGGGGCAGGAAAGGGCGGAAGAGAGGAGCAGTGGCGGGGGGGGACGAAGCAGGACGGAAGACAGGGGGCGGGGGGGGACGTTAAGGCGACATAGAGAAGCACACATGAAACTAAGGAAGATGAGAAGAAGCAGGACGGAAGAGCCGGAGAAGACAGAGAAAGAAGTGAGGAATGGCGGGGAGAAGGGGAGAAAGGAGGAGGGAAGTGGGGAGGGGGGGGGGGGGGGGAGAGGGGGGGGAGGAGGGGGGGGGGGGGGGGGGAGGTGGGGGAGGGGGGGGGGGAGGGGTGGGGGGAGGGGGGGGGGGGGGGTGGGGGGAGGGGGGGGGGGGGGGGGAGGGGGGGGGGAGGGGTAGGGGGAGGGGGGGGGGGGGGGGGGGGGGGGGGGGGGGGGGGAGGGGGGTGGGGTGGGAGGGGAGGGGGGGGAGGGGGGAGAGGGGGGAGGGGGGGGGGGGGGGGGTGGGGGAGGGAGGGGGAGGAGGGGGGGGGGTAGGGGGGGGGGGAGGGGGAGGGGAGGGGGGGGGGGGGGGGGGGGGGGGGGAGGAGGGGGGGGGGGAGGGAGGGGGGGGGGAGGGGAGGGGGGGGGGGGGGGGGGGGGGGGGGGGGGGGGGGGGGGGGGGGGGGGGGGGGGGGGGGGGGGGGGGGGGGGGGGGGGGGGGGGGGGGGGGGGGGGGGGGGGGGGGGGGGAGGGGGGGGGGGGGGGGGGGGGGGGGGGGGGGGGGGGGGGGGGGGGGGGGAGGGGGGGGGGGGGGGGGGGGGGGGGGGGGGGGGGGGGGGGGGGGGGGGGGGGGGGGGGGGGGGGGGGGGGGGGGGGGAGGGGGGGGGGGGGGGGGGGGGGGGGGGGGGGGGGGGGGGGGGGGGGGGGGGGGGGGGGGGGGGGGGGGGGGGGGGGGGGGGGGGGGGGGGGGGGGGGGGGGGGGGGGGGGGGGGGGGGGGGGGGGGGGGGGGGGGGGGGGGGGGGGGGGGGGGGGGGGGGGGGGGGGGGGGGGGGGGGGGGGAGGGGGGGAGGGGGGGGGGGGGGGGGGGGGGGGGGGGGGGGGGGGGGGGGGGGGGGGGGGGGGGGGGGGGGGGGGGGGGGGGGGGGGGGGGGGGGGGGGGGGGGAGGGGGGGGGGGGGGGGGGGGGGGGGGGGGGAGGGGGGGGGGGGGGGGGGGGGGGGGGGGGGGGGGGGGGGGGGGGGGGGGGGGGGGGGGGGGGGGGGGGGGGGGGGGGGGGGGGGGGGGGGGGGGGGGGGGGGGGGGGGGGGGGGGGGGGGGGGGGGAGGGGGGGGGGGGGGGGGGGGGGGGGGGGGGGGGGGGGAGGGGGGGGGGGGGGGGGGGGGGGGGGGGGGGGGGGGGGGGGGGGGGGGGGGGGGGGGGGGGGGGGGGGGGGGGGGGGGGGGGGGGGGGGGGGGGGGGGGGGGGGGGGGGGGGGGGGGGGGGGGGGGGGGAGGGGGGGGGGGGGGGGGGGGGGGGGGGGGGGGGGGGGAGGGGGGGGGGGGGGGGGGGGGGGGGGGGGGGGGGGGGGGGGGGGGGGGGGGGGGAGGGGGGGGGGGGGGGGGGGGGGGGGGGGGGGGGGGGGGGGGGGGGGGGGGGGGGGGGGGGGGGGGGGGGGGGGGGGGGGGGAGGGGGGGGGGGGGGGGGGGGGGGGGGGGGGGGGGGGGGGGGGGGGGGGGGGGGGGGGGGGGGGGGGGGGGGGGGGGGGGGGGGGGGGGGGGGGGGGGGGGGGGGGGGGGGGGGGGGGGGGGGGGGGGGGGGGGGGGGGGGAGGGGGGGGGGGGGGGGGGGGGGGGGGAGGGGGGGTGGGGAGGGGGGGAGGGAGGGGGGGGGGGGAGGGGGGGGGAGGGGGGGGGGAGGGGGGGGAGGGAGGGGGGGGGGGGGGAGGGGGGGGGAGGGGGGGGGGGGGGGGGGGGGGGGGGGGGGGGGGGGGGGGGGGGGGGGGGGGGGGGGGGAGGGGGGGGGGGGGGGGGGGGGGGAGGGGGGGGGGGGGGGGGGAGGGGGGGGGGGGGGGGGGGGAGGGAGGGGGGGGGGGGGGGAGGGGGGGGGGGTGGGGGGGGGGGTGGGGGGGTGGGAGGTGGCTGGAGGGAGAGGGCCCACAGAGAAGGCCGGGCAAGATGGCCCGTCGCCCCGTTGCGGGCGGGCGGGAGGGGGGCGGGCCGTCCGGGCCATGGGAGTGCCGGGGCTGGAGCGGGGTGCGCCGTCGCGCGCCCGTGCTGCCTTCCTCGTCTTTCCCCTCTATCTCTTCTCCCTCTTTTTTCTTCTTTCCCGCCCTGCCCTTTTGTCCCCCTCTGGTCAACATCTTCCCTCCCACACCATCTCTCTTGCCCCCTCTGTTTTCTTTCTTTCGCCCTCCTCTCCCTCCACCTTTTTCTCTCTCCCCTATCTTTTTTCGTCCACTGGCCTCAGGAAACCTGGTGTCAGTGAGGTCATTTGTGATGTGGATGAGTCGCCGATCACCAACCAACAGAGGCGTATGGACCGTTGGGCCGAGCACTTTCACTCGCATTTCAACTGGTCTCCACCATTCATCAGTACATGCAGTACACGTTGTTGTCCACCCTGGCTCGTCCCTCTGAATCCACCCTGCGAAGCGGAAGTCTGCCTCGAGATTCGAAGCTTGAAGCGCTTCAAGGCTTCCGGCTTAGACGGACTTCCTCCGGAACTATTCAAGTACGGCGGTGTGGCGATCATTAACCAGCTGACCGCGCTGTTCGCAAAACTTTGGCATGAAGAGAAAGTGCCTTCCTCTTGGGGCGAATCAGTCATTATCCCGATTTTCAAGAAAGGCGCTCGCACTTCATGTGCAAATCATCGCGGGATTAGTCTTATTTTGGTTGCCTCTAAGCTATTGGCGTCCATTCTGCTTCGCAGGCTATCACCAGTATGTGAATCATACTACCGCGAAGAACAAGCTGGTTTCCGTCCTGGCCGCGGATGCGTGGATCAAATCTTCACGCTCCGCCAGCCCCTCGAATATCGCCACATTTATCACAGGCCCACTATCATTGCATTTCTAGACATACGTGCCGCTTTTGACTCCGTTGATCGACCTGCTTTATGACGTTGCTTACTAAAGAACGGGGTGCGAGAGAAATATACCGCCATCTTACGAACACTTTACCTTCATACATCCGGCAGAGTGAGGATCTATGGCAAGCTTTCCTCGCAATTTACTGTCAATAGCGGTGTGCGACAGGGTTGCCCTATGTCCCCATTCCTTTTCAACTTCGCAATCGAAGACGTTCTGCCGAATGCTCTAGAAGGTTTCCAACATTTTGGCTTAGAACTTCTACCGGGTGAGCGCGCTACCGACTTAGATTATGCTGATGATATCGCCTTACTTGGTGACGATCCTCAGAGTATACAGCTCATTCTGGATCGTTTGGCGGTTGAAGCATCTAAGTATGGCATGAGCTTTGCCCCATCGAAGTGTAAAATACTGCTCAAGGATTGGCTTTCACCTACTCCCGTGCTCACTCTCGAAGGTGCACAACTTGAATAGGTAGATAGTTTCGTCTACCTTGGAAGCTGTGTTTCTGCTAACGACACTACCAACAAAGAAGTTTCTCATCGTATCGCTAAAGGTCGATCATCATTTGTCAATTTGAGGCACTTGTGGCGTCGTCGCGACGTCTCATTCTCGCCAAAGGGTCGCGTCTACAGCGCATCAGTTCGCTCAATATTGTTGTATGGTTGCGAGCCCTGGCCGATTCGCGTGGAAGACATGCGTCGTCTTTCTGCGTTCGATAACGGCTGCTTAAGGAGGATCGCTCGTGTTTGGTGGCAACATCGAGTAAATAGTAATGACGTTCGACGTCGCATCTTGGGGAATGCGAGTATTCCCTTCAACAAATTGGTTTTGTTGCGCCAGTTGAGATGACTCGGTCACGTCCTTCCCATGGCACCTGAGCGTCTACCGCGTCGCGCTCTATTCGTTCATTAAGGACCTGGCTGGAGGAGACCGCGTGGTGGTCAGCCTTCCACTTGGCGGCAGCACATGAAATCGCTGCCGTCGTGTCTAGCCGCTGTTGGATCCGTAAGTCTTCCAGGATGGGGACCCAAAGATGAGGAGTGCCAATGGATTAGCACACTTGAAGATATGGCCCGCAACCGGAATCAGTGGAAGACTTGTGTACAGTATTGTGTTGATTCACATGATTAATACTACAAACATTAAAATGACAAAAAAGAACAAAAACGGCGTGTGAAAAACAAACTAAAAATGTTTTGTTCTACTTTTTATCGAAATGTTCCACTCTTCCTGCGGCATCTTAGTTGGAGTGTGTTGCTCACCTTCAACTAGCATGCCACGATGATTATAACGCGTTGAACCTTGCTTATCTGTTGATCTCCATGGTTTTATACTGGCTCTGTGTCTAGTAAATAGACTGTTGAGAATACATACATACATACAGCCTAGTCCGCAAAGGCATCAGACGCGTTTCACTATATTGGCTGTGGCTGCGCCTGATGTGAATGTTGACAAGGTGCCTACCTGTGTATTACCCACTACCTCTTCCATACTGGCTCCAGGAGACAGTTGGTCGTTGCTGGTGGGGACGGGGTGCACCGTCCTCGTGACGGTGCTAGGTTTAAGGAGTGGTTCCATCCTGTGTGGAGCGGGCTACGGTCCAGTCTCCGCCATGTGTACGTCTGGTATGCATGATTCCCAAAGTAGGCCGGATTGTTTCTGTTCTGCTTGTCGAAGGAGTGTGGGCCGGTTCCATTGATGAAATGTGGCTCCCATTCACATGCCTCTCTTTCTTATTCCTTCGGGTTCACTCTGGATATGGGGTGTGTGGGTGTAACTGTGTGGTGCAGCGCAAGCCACCCATGGTCCCTCTGTAGGCCCAGCCGTCCTGTGACTGTTCCCATGGAGGTCACAGTGACAGACAAATCCGGATACGGACGCTGCTAAATCATTCTTACTCCGACCGGTTTGCTAAGCGTGGGCGGATGGGTCCGAAGTATGAATGGACTATCAACACCTACTCTACCAAATTCCTAAATATCGAATACCCTTTCCATCCTTGACCAACTCAAGTTTAATGAATTTTAAAAAGACCTAGCTTAATATAAGTTGGTTTAGCGCAACTGCGGTGAAGAAGCATCAAGAATGCAACATCAGCCTCAGCATATATATATATATATATACATATATATATATATATATATATATATATATATATATATATATATATATATGAACTCCTCTGTTGACGCAGCAGTGCTAGCATATCCAGAAGGCGTTTCGTATTACCTTGGATATGAAATCTAACATCGTCGCTGCAAACGTAGTGTTCCCACCACCCACGAGCTACCCTCCGCAGATAAGTGTTGTTAAAGACCGAAGTCCGATACAGATCATTTACACAACGTGACTAAGCGTGGCTTCCATTCAACTGAATCGCATGAACCTAAGCATTATAGTCACTGCCCTTTGCCGAGCTTGAAACGTCACGACGCCGCCACATATGCTTCAGGTAAGTAAAGATGATCGGGCCTTGGCAGTACAGAGAGAAGTCTCTCTACCAATTGTGTCATCATTAGAAACGCGGCTCCCAAGGTGGATGAAACCATCTATCCATAGAGTCATTGACCACTCAATTCTGTCACTAGAGGTGAGTATCTAACGGAATACGAATGAACAACCTGGCTGTCCATCGGCTTCTCTGTGGACTGCGGCCAAACACAAAGAATGCGAATAAGCCGCCTGGCTGTCAGCAGTCTTCGTATTCGCTCCGCTGCCTTGCGGACCAGGTTTTTAGGACGAAAGGCTCGGTTGGGGTCCCTTAATAATATTCCTCGGCCTGAGAAACCGGAAATCTCTGTCCACACAACCCGTGGATCTTCGTATACTTACGCTAGCTTATATATATATATATATATATATATATATATATATATATATATATATATATATGTATAATTCAAGCTATTCTCCTTCAAGAATCAGCACGGCGACGGTTG